TTGATATACGGACGCACTGGTCCCCGGGACACCAGGGCATCGAAGGAAACGAGGCCGCGGACCGGCTGGCCAAAGAAGGAACGACACTGCCGGCGCGGATGGGTCAAATGGCAACACTAGCGGGCATCAAGCGGCTTGCAAGGGAAAAATTACAAAGCCAGCACAGGAGATGGTGGTATAAAGAGCGAAGGCCGCGGTACGCGGACTTGGGGCTTGAGGCAGCTCTGTCCAGCCCTCCTGAACTGGCCTTGCCGCGGGCTACGTTACATCACCTGCTGGCGGCACGATCGGGTCACGGGGACTTCGAGCAATATCACCGACGTTTCAACCACGACGACGCTCTAATGATGTGCTCTTGTGGAGAGGCGAAAGACGTGGACCACCTGGTCTACTGTCGACTAACGCTGGCGAGGAGGCAACGGTGGCCGACCCTCCACTCTCGCAGTATGCCCGAGCCCATAGGTCCTATGGGATCTCTCGAGGCCTACTTCAAGAGATTAATCACCGACCCACGAGGCTTCGAGGCCTTTCTCCGCGTGACGGACTTCTTCCAGAAGATCTGTCTGCGGTAGCAGCATCCACACCTAGGTAGATGTGAGTGCGGACTACAAAGAACCTCCCGATTCCAAGGGACGATTTGGGAAAGAATGAAACTGGGGCACCAGCGGGAACCGGGGACAGACAGAACGCGTAGTGGCCACAAGGCATGATTTGGAGGACGATGTAAAGAGACGACGTACTGTAGAGTAGGTAGCCTTGGCTCACGGCCCTCCACGCCATATACCCTTCGGGAGGTCTGCGGTAAGGGCTCTAGCCCGGCCGCCACGGCGTTAAATACAACAACAACAACAACAACAACAACAACAGCGCTGCCTCTCTTGCCGGTGCTTTCGGCGGTATCCTCGCATGGGGAATCGGACACATGAGAGTTGTATGGGACAATGGCTGGAGATGGATTTTCATCTTGGTTCGTGACACCTATTTAATTTCAAAAAAACAGTGTCTGACAACTTAATAGGAAGGTATCGCGACCGTGGTCATTGCCGTCGGCGCATACTGGTTAATTCAGAACTACCCCGACACGGCCAAGTTCGTTTCCGAAAAGGAGCGCCGTTTCATCAGGGCCAGATTGGCCTCCGACAGCGATGCCACGCACAATGAAAAGTTCTCGTGGAGCAATGTGATGGATGCTATCAAGGACCCAAAGTGCTGGCTGTACGGTCTTGGCTTCCACACCATGAGCTTGCCATTGTATACATTCTCCCTGTTTATTGTGAGCTACCCTCGGAAGCTTGCTCAAGGTCTAGTCAACCATCTTACTGACTTGACCTAGCCTACGATCATCAAAAACCTCGGATACACCGCGGCCGTCGCCCAACTACTTACTATTCCCCCTTACGCCGTTGCCTTTGTCACAACATTGACGGTTGCGATCTACTCCGAACGTACCGGCCGCCGTGCCTTTTTCATCATGGGGTCGTCCGCGGTCGCGGCGATTGGTTACATTATTCTTTTGGCCAACTCTGACCCCGTGGGGAAGCCTGGCGTCTCGTACCTTGGAACCTTCTTCGCAGCTGCGGGAATCTACCCTGCCACCGCTCTCGTCCTCTCGTGGCCGGCCATCAATGTCTCTGGGCAGACCAAGCGTGCTGTAGGCAACGCAATGCAAATCACCATTGGAAACTTGGGGGCTGTGTTGGGGACACAGTTGTATCGCGCCAACGATGGTCCGAGGTACATTGTCGGCCACTCTTTCGCTTTGGGTTATCTTTTGGCGAACATCATCGTCTGTGGTATCTTGTACTTTGTGTTGAAGGGCGAGAATAAGAGACGCGAGGCAATTGCACCGGAAGTTCAAGCAATTGGGGACTTGGAGGATTGGCCCGGTGACAAGGACCCTAGATGGAGATTCCAATACTAGTGCAAGTCGGCACTGGCTGGTTCCGAGCGAGAAGGGCAGTTCCATACACAGGTAGTGCCGAGCCTGAGTGCTTGTGTATGAAACCTAATTTGATCACGGACTTCTGAAGTTGAAGATCGAATTGCGAGTAGACTTTGATACCTATAGAAGAACCCATGTCCAGAGCATCTCTCATATTGGTTGAACGGTTGCTGTATACAGCAAACTGTGACCTCCCTCATGAAGTCATGCGTGTGCTTCACCAACAGCACGAAAAGAAGCATGAAACCGGAAACTGTAGGGTCAGTCTTTAAAGCAATGCTTTGTTGAGAGACTCTTTTGTCTTTGTGGGCGGTAAATACGTGACTTGTTCACTCAGCAAGAGTCGGAGGTTGACTGCGTCGCTTAAGGTAGTTGGAGGAATCGAACTTACATCAAGACTTGCTCGACTCAATGCTAACGCTGATTACATCTGTTCTTACAATATCTCTGCCCACGTTTCTCCCTTGAAGAATGCTCTCTTGACTTCCCCTTGTGACCATCGTTGTTGATACCGTATCGTCAAAGCTGATCGCATTAGCGCTGTGTTGCCTTCTGGCTACTCTCTTCGTCGCTTCCTTGGATCGAGACATTTCGATATCGGATCGATATTGGCCACTCGGACCCGAACCATAGTTCTCATACGTATACCTGCCTCCCCCAGAACTGAAGATGCGCTTGCCAAAGATGAGCTCGCCGAGAGGTTGCAGTACGGGAATGCATGCGGCAATGATCATCGTGCTGCCCTCGACTCTAGCGAAAGGTATCAGCACAAATTCTCGACAGTTCATTGTGGCTGCCAACGTTGAGGACGGTTGCTTAACTCACATGGTCCAAGTTACTAGGTCCGAAGTGTCGTCTGGAATATCACACAAATAATCTAGACCCGGCGTGCTATTCCAAGCGGGATTCCCGACAAACTCACATGAGAAATCCATGCTTGCGAGACTTGGAAGTCGGGAGCATTTGTATATGGCAACGATCGATGAGCTTTTCGTCAAGAAGGTCAGTTTTCGTTGCCATTAGAAAGAAAAAGAAATTAAACCTCAACACGCACATTGACCCAATTCCAAGAGCGATGCTCAGAGCTACCTTCTTTCTTATACTCATCTGCAGCTTCGCAAGGACGACGGCTGGATAGATGGCCAAGTAAAGATCCACAAGCGCGCAGAAACCTAAAAGATATGTCAGAAATAGGGTTCTAAAGGACAGGGACAGAGGGGGTTGAAGCACCTCCAGAGTAGATGGCAAAGTAAACCAGAATCCACTTATACCAGCACGTCTTGTCTGTGACCGAAAAGTCCTACTGTGAGTGGGAAGGTTGGCATTGGGCAAAAAGAATGATTACGCATCCAATCAAGTTGATGAGACAAAATGTGGCGATGAACCACAGGAAAAGCGCATGCCATCTGCTAGGTTTCATGATTCGTGTGAGGAGCGCGACGACAGCAAGCTTCGGGAGTCCAAAAGACATGACCCCAGGAGGGAAGCCGGCAATGGTCCAGAGTATCGCTCCGGACTTCTGCTCGAGTGTTAGCACGTCAAAGTGCCGGCCATTTCCGTGCGCCACCACCGCGATAGCCGTTCCAACATTCGTCCATCCGCAAACCTGGAGCAGACATCGTCAGCAACTGTGAAGCCTCGGATGATATGTCGCACTGGAGACGATCGAATTGAAGCTGAACGGTTGCTTACTACAGATGCGACAATCAAATAGTCGTCAAGATGAAAATGCTTCAATATTTTTCCTCTGACAAAAAGTCTCCCAGCGGTGAAGAGGGCGCTGAGGACCGACATAGAGATGACAACGTCAAGAGCCATGGGGCCCTTGTCTTCGGAATTTCGGTTGAGCGGCACTTTTCCAGACATTGCTAAAAGTAGAGATCGATGAGAACAACAGATCGAACAAATAGAAGACTTCAAAGACAGACCGAAAAGATGGCGGCGGCAGCCACCATATAGGAGAACTGTGATACGCGGTTTTCGGAAAGAAAAGACAAGCCCTCAACTATCGGTACTGGGCCTTGGTAAGAGGGTCGGATTCATAATAATCTGAAGACTGCACCGAATCTCGAACTACGATCGACAGTTGGACATGTGGAATTCGCAGTTGCCCCTTCTCCTATCCACATGAGAAGCTCTTGATCAGTCCATCGATGACACTTTTGGGAAAACCCTGTGTGAGCTTCCACCGCCGTCGGCGGTAATCTTGATTCGGCTGACAAGGAACGGTGATTAAAGGACCAATTTTCAAGTTTCCAAGTTCCAACTCACGTATTCCGACAAACTGCAGGAGCGTATCGTAGACTTTCGTATTCCTCCCAGCATGGGTAAACCAACAGCTCGGGGACCCGGCGACGCGCACGCACTGCACCAACAAACAACACCAACACAAGACTCTCATTCGCCGCCAGGGTAGAAATTCCACCACACCCTTGCCAAAGAATGTTTGTTTTCACCTGATTTTTGCGTCTCCCGTTCCCTCCGTCCCTTGCCCAGGTCTTGGTATAGAGCCATGTCAGAACGGTATTACCAGATACTTTGAAGAGCCCAAGACTTTTTTTTGCCGTTGCTGGTGCAAAGTCGCAGACGATCCCAGCCAGGAGTCTTAATCATCAGAAAGCCTTCTCTTTTAGGAGTGCAATTTACCGAATCAGGTACCGACGATTATTGTTGCAACGGCCCTAGAATGTTGTGGTCAGAATCGGCATGAGGACCGCTGCCTGCATTTTTGCAAAGCCAAGGGTGGTCCCTCTTGGGTAAAACGGGTTTCTCAAATTCTTTGCTTTGTATTTATATGTCCCTTCCCTTTTGTTGTACTTTGATTTCGGCGACATCTTTAATTCAATTTCGAAACTTCCCATCACCATTACAACTTGACCAATTCAATCTTGAAAATGGGCTCTATTCCGGAAAAGACGCTTTTGGACACCTCCATCGCGACCCAAGCCAATGATGCCAAAGGCGTAGCACACCTAGCCAACACCATCGGCACTCTCGGTACATCCTTCCTCCCCAACGATGAACAGGGTCGTCTTGCGCTTCTGAAGCAGGCCCGGTCACTGCTACAGGCACTGGAAACCCCAAGAGAAACAATGATTAAACATTGTTGGGCTCAGGTGGGAACATCTGCCTTCCGCATTTTGTTTCGTTTCATGAAAGTAGTTGCTAAGTTGCTGTTACCATCAGCCTGCTGGACCTTCGTCATTGCGACCGGCATTGAGTCGGGGCTGTTTGAGTATCTGGTTCAAAACCCTGGTCCGAAGACCGTGGATCACCTAGGCAAAGCACTTCGCTTCGACATCGATGTACTTTCTCGCACACTGCGTCATCTCTGTTCGACGGGATACCTCAAGGAAGTTGGCCCAGATGAGTACGAAGGAACGAACTTCACCAGGTCGCTGAGTATACCGATCATAGCCGGCGGATATCCCTGTCTGTAAGACTTGCCCTCAGCCACTTTTTTTTCGTTATGCCCCCGTTTCTGTGGATTGGCCGTCCTGCCACATCACTTAGCGTCGAAAATTGCTGGCCGACCTTCTCGAATTTCCCCCTCTATCTCAAGAAGCACGATTGGTCCATCTCGCCGGACCCAAGAGAGGGGCCAATGCAGGATGTCATTGGTAAAGACAACAACTTCTTCAAGCACATGATGACCAACCATCCCGCCGGAGAATTCCAGAACCATATGGCTGGATACAGGCAAGGACGGCCTTCCTGGATGGATGACGGATTCTTCCCCGTTTCAGAGCGCCTTGTCAAAGGTGCAGACAGTTCACCAGAGGCGGCTTTTCTCGTCGACATTGGCGGTAGCATTGGCCACGATCTGGACGAATTTTGTCGAAAGCATCCCACTGCTCCGGGTCGACACGTCCTTCAAGATCTCGAATACGTACTATCTCAGACTCAGAAGGTTGACCGTAAGATTGAGCCCATGTCGTACGATTTCCACACAGAGCAGCCTGTCAAAGGCGCAAGAGCCTATTATATGCACTCTGTCTTACACGATTGGACGGATGATGTTTGCGGGAGCATCTTGTCGCGCGTCACTGAGGCAATGAAACCGGGTTACAGCAAACTCCTCATTAATGAGAATGTGATTCCCTCAATTGGGGCAGATTGGCAGGCTACGGCGCTGGATATGATGATGATGACACTCTTTAGTTCCAGGGAGCGAACAGAGGAGCAATGGCGCAAGCTTCTGGAACCTGCTGGTCTCAAGATTGTCAAGATTTGGTCAGCGGGTGAAGGCGTGGAGAGCTTGATTGAGTGTGAGTTGGCATAAGTGAGGGTATTGGAACCTGCGTGGATGCTTGCAATGATAAAGAATAAACGATGAGATGTTGTTGCCTTGGTTCTTAAAACTTGGGAATGCCGTCATGGTATTGGTGGATGCAACTAGTTAAAGATCATGGTTACGTGAGATCAGTAAGCGGAATTAGGATCTATGGTCCGCCGACAACAGAAAAAGCCCCGAGAGATAAACATACCATTCCAACTTCTCATGCCAACATTAAAACCATTCAATGCCACCAAGCGTCGTCCGTCTCCGGGTCCCTTAGTAGCATCGCAATTGATTAAGCGAAATATTCGGTGTTTATATTCGGTGTTTTGACCATCCTAGACCAACGTGCGTAAGCTCAGCTTTCACCCGCGACTATGTCTACCCCAATCCGAGTCGCCGCATGCCACGTCTCGCCCGTCTTTCTCTCCGCGCGACGCACAACCGAAAAGGCAATCTCCCTCATTCACCAAGCATCCAGGAACAAAGCAAATCTCATCATCTTCCCAGAAACCTACATCCCAGCGTTCCCTATCTGGTCTTCCCTGCGCGCTCCCTTTGAGAACCACGACTTCTTCAAGTCCATGGTGCAGGAATCCATCCACATCGACGGTGCAGAAGTCGACGCTCTCCGCTTTACTGCAAAGAAGCTCAACGTGCTGCTTAGTGTCGGCATTTCTGAAAAGGCCCGCTACAGCAGCGCGACGCTTTTTAATACTAATATCATCATCGGTACAGAAGGAGAGATTCTAGTCCATCACCGAAAACTTATGCCAACGTTTTTCGAAAAGTTAACGTGGGCTCCTGGAGATGGCTACGGCCTGCGCGTTGCAGAGACGCGATTTGGGAAGATTGGGAATCTCATTTGCGGGGAGAACACAAATCCGCTTGCGAGATATGCGCTCATGGCGCAGGGAGAGCAGATTCACATTTCCACGTGGCCTGCGATATGGCCGACGAGAGTTCCAAAATCCACGGAGACAAGCTCTCGAGAGGGGTCAAGCGCGGCTAAAGGAGCCAACTATGACAATGTTGCTGCCAACAGGACAAGAGCGGCTGCACACTGCTTTGAGGCTAAAAGCTTCGGTGTTCTCTGCTCAGGAGTTCTGGGTGAGGATGCAGTTGAGGCTATCTCTTTGGGTGCGAGCCAAGAAGACGTGGTCGCCCAGGCGCTGCGGGATTCGCAACGCGGCGCGACCATGTTCTTGGACTCAACGGGCGCATTATTGCCAGGCTTCACAGTTGAAGAGGGAACTCTCCAAGAAACCCCGTCAGCATTCTTGCAACACAAAGAAGACATCCTATACGCCGACTTAGATGTTGTGATTGTGTTGAGGGGAAGCAGTATCACGATGTGATTGGCGGGTATCAACGCCTCGATGTGTTTGATGTCAAGGTTGACCGTAGACGGCGAGAACCAGTTTTGTTCAAGGGGGATCATCTCACACTGAAAAGAGAGATAGGAGCTTTTGAAGAGGATTGAATCAATCGAAGCCGCATCATAAGATTATCATGACTTCAACTGGTTGGGTACGGACTTGCTACAATCTTGTCGCTCATGCCGCCTTCGCGAATCCAGTCTCAACAACCCCAGGCTGTTTCCTGAACGGCTGCGGCGCCGTGCCACTAGTCATCGTACACTGCCACATCAGTCTCTTCTTTTCCTCGTCCTCCTTATACTGAGCCAATTGTCCCGTGATGCTGTGCATGACGCCGCGATTGTGAAAGATGACGACGTCACCTTCCTCCCACCGGTGAGTGTAGATATTCTCCGCCGCCCAGATTCTCTTCTGGAAGCTGTAGACAATTTCGCGGACCTTGGCTACTTCGTCCACGATTGATACCTCGCCCGTCACCGGATCCCGAGTTGTAAGTTTGAATACGCAGCAACCATGGACCTGGAGAAATGGTCGATCGGGGTTAAGGGGGTTGCGCCAGACCATCTGAGGCTTGTCAGTACAACATCGAGAAGAATCCAGATGGGGTTTGGTGACTTACGGGATGTTCAGCAACATTCTCCCAAGACCATTCAGAGAGTTGCTCCATGGGAATCTCTTTCCCCATTGTTGGGATTGACAAGCCGTCTTCCGTCGCTTTGCATTGTCTGATGTATTCGTAGGCTTGAGGGGCGTATGTTACGGTTGTGTTCAGAGCAAACTCCTGCTCAGCCGGGGTAAGCAGTTGGAATGCCCGCGCTCCGGAGAAGACTGACGAAGAGGTTAACCATGCGTCTTCAGAGTTTCCGAGCACTAGACTTACAGGCCGTGGATCCAGCAGCGATGCTCTTTTCTTTCCCGTCTGGAAATTTGAGTTTCTGATCGGGCAGGTTCGGCACCTTGACCGCGTGAAGGATCGTGACTTCACCAGGCAAACGCTGGTAGAAGGGAGTGTCCATGTGCCACCGGTATGGACGGGTATATCCATTGCTTAGCTCCTGCTCCGATAGAGGCTTTTCGTGGAACAAAGTATGATCCTGGCCGGTTCTATTAGCTCAGATCGTCAACGGCTCGCGGTTTCCGAAATTCAATTAATCAGTTGATCGAAGATAGGTTCCAGGCATACCAGATGAATCACCTCCAACTCTTCAACTCCTTCATAGTTCTTAAACTTGCCGCTACCGATGATGCCCACTTGCGGTGCTCTCGGAATTCTTCCTGCCTTGTATGCCGAAAGAATATTTCTGGGGTCACTGACGGCTTTCTCGCCAGCAGAATGAATATCACTCGCAGTCGGGTCGAAGACTTTGGTCAGCTTAGGCAGAGTCTCAGGTGCGATGCCCTTCTGGTTCTTGATGACCACGACCTGGTTTTCGAACAGGGCTCTTCTAAAGGTGTCGAGGTCTTCTTCTGACAAAGCGTCTACGTCCAGGACATCCATTGATGACGGCAGGTGAACTTCGGCTCCAATCAAAGAAGACTCCCGAAGAGAGGTTGGAAGCTCTTTGAAGGAGAGTCCCTGAGATGGGGAGTTGAGACTGCCCATTGTAAATGAATGACTGATGTGGTGAAGGTGATAAGGCTAGAGAGTAAAATTGACTGAGGCTTTGGGTTGATGGGCACTGTATGAGCCGGGTAGCAGCATGAACTTATAGCTGACTACTCTTACCATGACATCGACGACTTCAAACTGTCTTCCAATTCAGAGCGGGTAAGTTGAACACGCTCTTCCGCACCCCGAGATTCAGAATTCTCCTGTCATGTAACACGCAGTGACTCGTAGTAATCGTACTGGCATAGTCTCTCATTGGCCGAGCGATGGGATGCATGCGGGCGGGTCCTTCATCTCACCCGCACCTCACAGGAATGGCCCAAACACTGTTCCCGTCGATTATCTCCGGGCACACAGAGACGCGGGCCAGTTTGTGCAACTCGCCCGCACTAGCCAAATGCATCTCTGAAAGAACGTATCGGTTGGTATATATACGACAATGAAGTCCAAGTGTCTCTCCTTCATGGAATATTCAACTCCCCGAATGCGAATCATTGCTTTGTTCTTACCTTCATCATGGCAGTCGTTGGAGTCAAGATTTCCCCTCTTCCAAAGCCGTTTGAGAAATCAGCAGTCGATTTCGGAGCCGAACTTTCGGGGATTGATCTCGAAAACATTGATGGCAAGTTCATGTGTCCAGAAAGAAACACACATATCAAGCTAATCACATATATAGATGGAAGTTTTCAAGTTATTAGAGAAGCCCTCTATAACAACAACGTTGTCCTGATCAAAGGCCAGCACAACCTCTCACCTAAAGCCCAATACGAACTCACCCGCCTATTCGACCCTGAAGCAAGCACATACAGCCATGGTTCCCGCATCGACAAACGCAGCGTCCTCCACAAGGATCTAACCACCCTGCCATCCCAGCCGCAAGTGCAAGTCATCGGCCACGGCGCAGTCGCCGAGTTCGAAGGACTGGATAATCTCAAGCTCACCCACCCTCACCACAAGACATTTCATAAGCATCCTATTCCGGAAGCCGAGGACTACAACTATACCCACTTTTACCGATGGCACATTGACTCGGCCATGTACAACCTGGATCCGCCTCTCGTCACATCGCTCTTTGCTTGCAAGGTGCCTAAGGGGCGGCGGCAGATCTGTCGCTACGACGACGGGACTGGGGATGAGCTAGAAGTACCCTTGGGAACGACAGCTTTCATCAGTGGATACCGCATGTTTGAATTACTACCGGAGGAGGATCAGGAGTTTGTCAGGACAAGCACGATTGAGTACAGCCCACACCCGTACATCTGGATGAGCAAGGCAAAGGCGAGATCAAATGGCCTAGGTCTTTTCTCAGAAGGTCTAGAGCTGTCTGAAGACCTGCTCCCAGAGATTGATGAGGAAAAGATCAGGAGATACCCTATGGCATGGAAGAATCCGGTGACGGGAAAGTTTGCCATGATGGTGTACCCGACGCCGGCGCGCAGGATCCATCTTAAGGACGGAACGGTGATGGAGGACTTGAAAGAGGTCAGAGAGTTGATTTACAGACTGCAACGACCAGCAATCAGCCCACAATACGTGTATCCTCATGACTGGGAAGAGGGTGACCTCGTTCTCTTCAACAACCATGGCGTTATGCATTCCATTGTTGGAGCCTTCGCGGAGAACGAGGTTCGCCTATTCAGGCAATGTAACATGGCAGCGAGCAGACCGCCTCAAGGTTCTGACTGCTGAGAAAATGAATAAGATGTACGCCAGCTTATATTCATTCATACGCCCCTGTCAGGCGGTGGATCCGATCAAAAGACGAAGCCCACTTGATCCGGATGTAATCCTTTTGATCACCGTGTTCATTGACCTCTACGAGCCAATTTTACGGTGACCTCGTCTCCCAGACCTCCAACTTTCTCAAACTTTAAAAACATAATATTAGAAGATGTTACAGGAATCAGAACTGAGAGGCGTTGCGTACCTTGTAGAGGCTCACCAAGGTAGCCACAACTTTGTACACCTCCAGGGCAAAAATATTCTTGCCAATGCACGTCCGAGACCCCTGCCCG